ATCAATGCTGACTTATCTCAGAAGTTGAAATTACCAACCACAAAGATCGAGCCCTTTGAGGTACGCGTAGCCAATGGAGAGAGGTTGCAATGCACTGAATCTTTTCGAAAGATGCCAATCAAGTTCCAAGGAGTCACGGTAAAAGCTGATCTGTATGCTTTACCCCTAGTTGGACCAGATGTCGTACTGGGAGTCCAGTGGCTTGAAGGACTAGGCAAGGTGACGACCGACTATCGAACAGGAATTATGGAGTTCAACTCCGAAGGTCGTCTGGTCACCCTCAGCACCGGCACTGAGAAAGGAACTAAGGAAGTAGGGTTGAAGAGCATAGAAAGAGTTTGGCATGGTGGAGGCCAAATTTTTGCAGTAGTAGTCGAGAACATGGGAGCGCACCTGGATTGTGACGAACAACAGCAAGGAGATGTACGCGAGCTTCTCTAGGAGTTTGAAGGGGTACTGGGCGAGCCTAAAGGGCTACCGCCGCACCGGGAGTTCGATCATCGCATACCATTGGTTAATGAACAGCATGCCATACATGTCCACCCTTATAGGTACGCTCACTTTCAGAAAACCGAGATCGAATGGCAGGTTGCGGAGATGCTAGAATCAGGACTAATCCAACACAGCAAAAGTCCGTTTTCTTCTCCAGTCTTGTTAGCCAAAAAGAAAGACGGCACGTGGAGATTCTGTACTGATTACCGAGCCCTAAACGCTGCAACCATCAAAGACCAGTTTCCTATTCCAAGTGTTGATGACATGCTTGATGAGTTAGCGGGGTCGCGATATTTCTCTAAACTTGATCTACTAGCTGGTTATCATCAGATTCGGCTCCACAAGGCCGACATTCCCAAGACGGCCTTTCGTACACACCAGGGGCACTATGAGTATCTGGTTATGCCATTTGGCCTATGCAACGCCCCATCCACTTTCCAGTTCGCCATGAACTCTATCTTCAAAGAATATCTGCGTAAGTTCGTTTTGGTATTCTTTGATGATATCCTAATCTACTCGAAGTCGTGGGGCGAACATCTTGGGCATCTAAGGATAGTTCTTGAAATTTTAGAGGCCAACTCATTCCACATCAAACCGTCCAAATGTTCATTCGGGCAGGAGATGGTTGAATATCTTGGTCATTTCATATCACATGACGGTGTGAAAGTCGATCCGCGAAAGATTGAGACTTTGGTCGAATGGCCTAAACCAACAAGTCTCACGCAGTTGAGAGGATTTTTGGGGCTCACAGGTTACTACCGAAAGTTCGTAAAGGATTATCGGACCATCGCCAAGCCACTGACAGCAATGACTAAGAAGGGTGGGTTCACATGGACCGAAGCTAGCGAGGAGGCGTTTGGAAAATTAAAAGAAGCTATGACAACAACGCCAGTACTCGCCATGCCCAGATTTGATGTCTTGTTCGAGGTACACACCGATGCGAGTGACATTGGGATTGGGGCTGTGTTAGTGCAAGAGGGGCGACCCCTAGCCTATCTCATCAAGGCACTGGGCACTACTCGGTTAGGTCTGTCAATGTACGTGAAAGAGATGCTAGCGGTTGTCGAGGCTGTACGGTGCTGGAGGCCTTATTTACTAGGTCGACGTTTTCAAATAGTTACCGATCAACAACCGCTCAAGCATCTATTGGAGCAAAAGATTGTTACCCCCGAGCAACAGAAGTTCGTGTCTAAACTTATGGGGTTTGAATTTTAGTTAATTTATCGACCAGGTCGACAGAACGACGTGGCCGAGTTAAGTGCGATCACTGGGCCTACTTGGGCCATTTGGGAAGAGATCAGGAAGGCGCAAGAAGAGGATAACCACTGTCAGGAGCTGCGCCAATCGATAGAAGCGGGTAAGACCACTGCTATCGACTACGAGCTGCATAATGATCTACTTCTACACCGAGGTCGAGTCTATATCCCCGACAGTGGGCAGTTGCGCGAGCAGATCTTGCAGCACTTCCATGACTCTAAGGTTGGAGGTCACTCGGGCATTTATCGCACGTGGATGAGAATAGCCAACACCTTCTTCTGACCCGGGCAACAGAGTACCGTTCGTGATTACATAGCTCGATGCGATGACTGCCAATGCACTAAGTCTGATTCGCGACGGCCAAGTGGGCTATTGCAACCATTACCAGTACCCGAGGCAATTTGGGAAGACATCACCATGGATTTCATCGAGGGGCTACCAAATTCTAATGGATTTGACGGTGTTATGGTTGTGGTGGATCGTCTCACGAAGTACGCTCACTTCATACCCATTACCCATCCTTACACGGCAAAGTCAATTGCCAGGTTATTCGTGGAGTACGTAATGAAACTGCATGGAGCACCCCAATCCATCGTCTCTGATCGAGACCGGATTTTTATGAGCAGCTTTTGGTCTGAATTCTTCAAGTTGCAAGGGACTAAATTGTCTATGAGCTCAGCCTACCATCCACAGACAGACGGACAAACCGAGGTGACTAACCGAACACTCGAGCAGTACTTAAGGTGCTATGTCCATCAATTTCCGAAGAGGTGGGAAAACTTTTTACCATGGGCTGAGTATTGGTTCAACACCACTTATCATGAGTCGACCAAGATGACGCCATTCGAGTTGGTATATGGGCGAAAACCCCCAACACTGATCAATTATTCCGAGGGGAGTACAGTCAATGATGAGGTTGGTCGTGAACTAGAGGAACGAGATTTGATGTTACGTGAGCTGAAAAAAAATCTTGAAGGTTCAATCAACCGAACCAAAGCCTTCACAGATGGAAAAAGGCGAGAGAAAAATTTTGCGCCAGGCGAATATGTCTACTTGAAGCTACGACCATTAAGACAGCGTACGACAGCGCAAAGGGCCGCAACTAAGTTGGGAGTCCGCTACTATGGGCCTTATCAGATTCTAAAGCGCATTGGCCAAGTAGCTTATCGCCTTGAGTTACCAGAAAGCTCACAAATCCACCCAGTTATCCATGTCTCGCAACTCAAGAGGAGTTTAGGCGAAGCGCAGAAGTACTGTGAGGAGCTACCAGCAACAGCAGCAGATGGCAGGGCTATAGTACGGCCAAAACGAGCGATTGAATACCGTAAGGTAAAGAGGGCTGGGCGATATCGTTGGGAAGTGCTAGTTGACTGGGAAGAGTTGCCGCCTGAAGAAGCCACGTGGGAGGATCTTGAAGAGATACGTGATCAATTTCCGAACTTTATCCTTGAGGACAAGAAATCACTTGAAGGGAACGAGAATGATGCGGAAGTGGCTAGGCAGCTCAAGAACGCGGCCAGCCGGGCCTATCACGCACGCAAGAGGCAGGCACGAGCAACGGCAGAAGTACGCATGTTAGAGCGAAGTGCGCACGAGATGGGCAAGGATAGGCTGCACGCGGATACACTGGCGGTGAACGCGACTGGCGTGCGCAGCGTGGATGGGCCAGCCGTACGTAGCGCGGGGTCAATGGGCGCGCCCGCGGGAAAGTCAGGCGCAACGGAAGCACGCGCAACGGACGAGGCCTTATGCCTCGAGGCAGGCGGGAAGGCGGAACAGCACGCGCGCGTGTTGGGCGCAGCAGAGCAGCGCGCGAAGAGCGCGGACTGTGCACGGGTACGCGTGGGGCACGCAACCCCATTCCTTGAGGAATACAGATTGGCGGCAGGGCACGCGCATAGGGCAGGCGCGCTGGGCTTTGGCGTGCTGGCCACGTCGGGTGACGACGCACGCGCGAAAGGCGGTGCCCTAGTCCTCAAGGACTAGGGCGTGGACGAAGGCGGCGCGCGGGTAGGGCGCCCGCGTGCGTGGACCGAAGAGAGAGAGGAAGACTTGGAGTGCAAGCCAAGGAATCTAGTTTCCTTCTAGCATTATATTTTCTAGCTTGTTTAGGATTTCTAATTTTTTATTGCTTAATTATTTCCCTAGGTAGATTAGGACTAGATATAATTTGGTGCATATATAAAAGGACCAACCCCCATGTTATTTATCATCATCCAAGAATTAATAAGAACTCAAGAACTTTTGTTCATCCTCTTTGCTTTAGTTTTTCACCAAAATTCTATAGCAATTATATCGTTTAGAGGGGTGCGGTTTGTGAACCTCTAGGAAACTATCGGCGATTCAAGGCACTGGTTTGTGGGTTATCGGCAGTCGAAACACACGATCTTCATCACAGCGTCCCAGCGCACGCCAGCGCGCATGCACAGCGCCCAGTGCGCACGCCAGCGCCCCAGAGCATAGCACA